CATTTCTGTAGCCAATCACACCCAGGAGTGGTCCCTGAGCACAAACTGAAGAGTAAGCCCTAAACACAGTCCAGTGTGGCCCCAGTACTCCTCCCCCAAAAAACGTTTTAAAAATCTCATTCTAGCTAAGATTTATCAGTATATTTCACCTTGGCTGACTAAGAGGTTGCACGTGATAAGCAGCTCCCTGTGAGACCTGAGAGATAGGACTAGAGGTTACAGCATCTGCCTTGCATCCAGCCTGTTCCACCCTCGCACCACATGTCCACTGGGCATGGACAGGGAGCAGCCTGTCGTCCTTGATCTTCTCATGGGACCACTGTCAGCCAGGTGACAGAATCCCCCTGCCCTCCTAAGCACCACCTGGTAGTCACCCCAAAACAAACAAAGCTACTCCTTGCAGAGGGCATGTGCTTTATTCAGCTACTCCTTGTGCTTTATAAGGCAGACTCACATGCATCACCCTTCTTGTTCATCCCAGAAATCAAGTAAGGGTGGAAGGGAAGTTACTGTTGAGAGCCTTGCCCGGTGCCCCACAGGGTAAAGAGCAGCATGCATTAGCATGCATTCTGGTCTCTTTCACCATCCACACTGCCTCCATCCGCTCTTGGGACTGAATAGTTTCACTAAAGCATACTTATGAATGACAAAAAAGGAATCAACACTGCCCTGTGAGTTTTGTGATAGACATCAAAATCTGTAGTTTTGTACTTAGATGACAACACATTCATATAAACTGAGTACTATGAATTATAGTGAGTTGTAGTGAAAGGAGATGGATCCCTAAAAAAAAATGAAGACAGAATTTCACAAATTATTTTAAAACATAATTCTAATGCCCCCAAATTCACTATCAGTAACTTAAATTTTTTTAACTTTGGGGCCACATCCAGTGGTACTTGGGGCTTGCTCCTGGATCTGATCTCAAGGATCACTCCTGGAGGGCTCAGGAAACCAAATGGGAAGCCGGGGATCAAATCCAGTTTGACCCTGTGCAAGGTAAGTGTCCTATCTGCTGTTCCTGTCACACTGGCCCACTCTGGCTTTCTACGGGGGGTGCACTCCCAGTGATGCTGTCATTCTCAGTGACATTGAGGGGACTGTATGTGCTGCTACTGGTGGAACTGGGCTTAGCTATATGCAAGGCACTGCTAACCGCTGCACGATTTCTACGGCCTCCAAAAGGATTTTTTTATAAATGTTTTTATTCACTCTATTAGTTTACCAAAAATTATTCCTGTTCACCTACTATATTCTAGACAATCTGTTGTGTGCTGCAGCTACACCAGGAACAACACGTCTGTCTTAGCCTTCAGACATTCCAACCAACAGAGATGCTGGGCACACAACAAAGAGCCTCACAGGCCTGACAGGAGCTATGGGAGATAACCTGGTCAGGACCTAATCAGGATGGAGTTAGGAAAGCACCTTCACACACACACACACACACACACACACACGTACACACACCACCACCATCACCACCAACAACAACACTACTATAACAGCAACTACTATTACTTCTACTACAAATAATTTAAGTAAAATTCTGTTCAAATGACAAGTATTTAGGCAAAAAAAGAAAAATAGAGAGAAGTGGAATATGAAGTCTGTAGAGTAGATGTAATCACCCAAGGAGACAAGTCTTTTGTTTGCTTTGGGGGCCATACCCAGTTATGCTCAGGGTTTACCTCTGGTTTGAGCTCAGAGATCACTTCTCCTGAGCTTGGGGGACTGTATGAAGCGCTAGGGGTCGAACCGAGGTGGGCTGCATGCAAGGCAAGCACCCTACCTGCTGTACCTTCACTCTGGCCCTAGCAGTTTAATATGATAATAGGATGCAGATCAATCAAACTGCATGGCATTTCGTAACGGCATGTTAATAAAGATAATAAAGATAAATATACAGGTTTTCTTGCTTCATCACATATTCTACTTCACACTGAATTCTCTGTTCCTCAAATCAAAGTTCAAAAGAGCTCTGAACCCTTCTGTAATAATCACAGGAAGTACAACAACTAACATCCTTAGAAACTGTTTAACTGGACTTTTTCACCACATTGTGGGATTTAATCATCACAACAATGTTTCATCACAACAGTCCAGTGCAATGAAACACAGTTTACGATGAAGGCTTAAAGAGATGATCTTTCCAAGTGCTAAGATAGCAGATCAGAATCTGAAGTCAGAGTTTAGGGTTCATTGTCCATGGCACTTTCCTGGACACAGAACAGGTCTAGAAATCCTGGTCATCCTACTCACCCATCAACTACTTAGTAAGATTCTCCTGTATGCCACTGAACTGGAGAGTGAAGGCCCCATCTTCATGGACACTATACTCGAGTAATAAGCAGACATACCTCACTGCTCTTATGTTTTTATTCTCTAAGTGCTCACATTTATCTCACAACCAAAGAAATACTTTGGGCCGGCTCTGACCCTACTTCCCTATTGTTGCTGGTGTCCATCTCCATGATTACGCAGCTGGCCTATTGGTCTCTCACACCAATAACTGTGCACGGACTGTGCGTGCAAAGCTGTGGCCATAACAGGTGTCAGTACTTTGTGCCGCTTGCTGTCTTCTCGGGGTAGTTTTCAACTGACACATTCATCCACTCATCCAAGGTGTTGTTTTGTTTTGTTTTTGCTGTTGTTTTCTGGACTTGGCTATATGAGATTCCAAAGACTATTGATGCCCAAAGTTGTGTCTCATCAAAACTTCTGCACTGGGAATGAAAATTTCCCTAGTTTACTAAAGTTCATTAGAATAATTCCAGTTCTACTTATAGTTTGTAGCTCCATATTAGAGGCAACCTCAGAAATTTAAGAAACTATCCCTCCTTACAGACATACAAATTACCCAGCTGGTAGGATAAAAAAGGATAGTTTGCAAGCATCTTTCCCATCAAAATCCATAATCTAGTCTATTTCTTCAGTGATATTCTGCCACAGAAGTTAGTGGGCACTTGGGAAGAATACAAGGGATGCGTTGAATACACATGAGGTGATGGGTCAGGCACTGAATATACATGAGGTGATGGGTCAGGGTAATGCAAGATACAATAATAAATTCTGAAGTTCTCCAAGAAATGGTAGAGTATGCAGCGAGGTATGTATAGAAACCTGGAGGTAATTTTTATCCATTGTAGGAAGAATGGGAGTGGGAGACAAGCTTGTGTATCATAAATGATGCCAGGTACAACACATTATGTAGGGGGGGGGGGCGGTGAGAGAGAGCACACAGGTTAAGGTGCTTGCCTTGCGTCTTGATGACCCCGAATCAAATCTCTGACTCCACGTATGGTTTTTCAAGCAATTCCATGAGGTCACTCTTGAGCACAGAGCCAGAAATAGACCCTGCAATGATTGGTACGACCCTGAGACTACCATAAACAATACATTGAGTAGAGTGTGCAGAAAGAGAAAGACTACATAATTGCAATGGTTCAAATGAGAAAATGAGAAGCCATGTGAGAAAGGGGCAGAAACCATGGTCTAGCCAATGGCAGCAACAGTGGTCTGGTACCAGGAGAGGAGGTCCATGAGGCAGAGTGAATCTGCCAAGTTATCACGGGGCAGCCCCAATGCGGATGGGTGACCCTACCAGTCACCTGACTACAGCAAAGAGGCCCAGAAGGCAAAGAGAATCCAGAAAGTCCAGCTTCCTTTAGAGTCTCTGGGTTTAAATGCCAGCTTCAGAATCGAAAAAGCAGGAGGTAGAGTGCCTAAAAAATACACACTTTCCTGTAACTCGACTAATTGCTGGTTCAGACAATTAGATCTCCCAGTTCAGACAATCAGAACTCCTGGGGTGAAGCCTGGTGCATTTGGCAGATCCTCCAGAGGAGTCTGGAGCACAAAGTTATTGATGCGTTGGGCCTAGACTGTGTCAGGGTTAGCATTAGCTTCGATTAGTGTAGTGTAGTGTTTTATTTTAGTTTAGGTTAGTAGCCTAATGGGTTTGCCAACGTCCTTTTGTTCATAGACAGACCAAACACCTAGAGCAGAGCTGTGTGGAAATAGTTCACCTCTCCTCAGTAGAGATCCTGAATTGCTGTGTGATGGGAAATCAAACCAGTCTCTCTTCATATTACAACCTGGAAACCTGGAGATACCCCACTCCCATACGTGAATTTACTATTAGAACGTAGTTTCAAAGGCTGCTGTGTCAATTTTCACTTGTGAGAAGAGTAGAGTTCAGCGTTGATAGAATTAAGTCTTAGTCAGCATTGTTTGCAGACTCGAAAATAAAGACAAAAATGGACTGCTTAGGAACAGAATAAAGGAAGGGAGGCCCTAAGAAATCTTGTTAGACAACATTCATCAAGATCCTAATTTGAGGGCAACCTGCTAGTTGCCAAATGCAGATACTCCACAATTCCCCTTAGAATCCTTATTTAAGTTATCGGTCTAAAAAAAATCAATCAATAAGGAAGAATTTCTGTTGAAATGGAAGCGTTCTAATTAATTAGAAATCCCTATGTATTCATACAGTTCAAACCTGTATTCTAACAGCAGGTAACCCAGACTAAGTAGAAACCGTGTTCAAAGTCAGGATTTCCGGCTAAGACCCCTAGTGGAACAGAGCGACCCTCAGCCTGCACTGTGAGCGCTGAGCTTGGCGTCCCCTCGTCGGGCAATCCGTTCCCTTCGCTCCTCTGATGAGCGGGTGCGTGAGCTGGCACCCGGTTCCGATTCCTCCCTCTAGATGCTGCCGGTCCCGAGACCCTCGTCTCGGCCGGTCCCTGCTGCCCCTGATCGCAACGCCGGAAGGAGGCAGTGCCCTCGGAGCCGCTTCCCGTGCTGGACACCCTCATCCTGACTCCAGCCAGCGCCGCTGCCGGCTGCAACGAAGTCGGCGTCCGACGGACGCAGCGGCCAGGAGTCCCCGCGGTCTCCGCTCGGGCTGCCCGGCCGCCGGAGTCCTCGCGGTCTCTGTCCCGGCCGCCGGGGTCCTGCCGCGCGCCGGCGCGCTGAGTCCCTGTCCTTTCTCTCCGCAGCTCCAACGGCAAGTCGGTCACCTGGGCCCAGAGCGAGCGCAGCAGCCGGGGGCAGCACCTGTGGCAGCGGCTGTCGGTGCACATCAGCAAGAAGGAGAGCCCCAACCAGACGGCCGTCATCAGGCCGTTCCCGCAGGGCGCGGGGCCCGGGGGCGCGGCGGGCGCGGGGCCCGGGGGCGCGGGGGCCGGGGGGCCGGCGGGCGCGGGGGCCGGGGCCCCGGGGGGCGCGGGGGCCGGCGCCGCGGGGGCCTTGGGAGGCGCGGGCCCGGCCGTGGCGGACGCGGAGCCCGGCCGGCCGCGCTCGCCTTCGCCGCTGAGCGCGCTGGCGGGCCGCACGGACGAGGACGCGCCGTCGCTGCCGTCGTCGCAGGGGTCCCTGCTGGAGCAGATCAGCAGCGTGGTGAGCCGCTTCACGGCCAACATCAGCGAGCTCAACTCCATGATGCTGCCGCCCGCCTGCGCGCGGCCCGGCGCCGTGACCACGCTGGCCGACGTGCAGCCCGCGCCCGCGCCCGCGCGGCCCGAGCTGGAGGAGCTGGTGGCGCTCACGCCGCCGTCCCCGTTCCGCGACTCGGCGGGCTCGGGCGGCAGTGCCCCGGGCTCCCCGGTGTCCGAGTCGGCGCTGTGCGTGGCCGCCTCGCCCAAGTACGACGCGCTGGTGGTCCGCGACTACTCGCAGAGCTCCTCGTCCCTGTGACGCCCCGGCCCGACGGCGGGTCCCCGCGGGCGGACGGCGCGGGGAGCGGAAACGCGCACTGTAAAATAGCCCGTTCGTCTCCGCCCATCCCCCCCGGAAGATGGCTTGGACCGCCAACCGCGAATGTACATCTTCTAACAGACTCAGATACGGGACCAAACGTCGACCCCCACTCCTTCTCCTCCCTCCTTCCCGGCCCGCCCCTCTGCCTCCCCAGCCCTTCCTCCTGCACCCTCTCCTCCCCTCCCCCTCCCCAGCCCTTCCTCCTGCACCCTCTCCTCCCCTCCCCCTCCCCAGCCCTTCCTCCTGCACCCTCTCCTCCCCTCCCCCTCCCCAGCCCTTCCTCCTGCACCCTCTCCTCCCCTCCCCCTCCCCAGCCCTTCCTCCTGCACCCTCTCCTCCCCTCCCCCTCCCCAGCCCTTCCTCCTGCACCCTCTCCTCCCCTCTCCCTCCCCAGCCCTTCCTCCTGCACCCTCTCCTCCCCTCTCCCTCCCCAGCCCTTCCTCCTGCACCCTCTCCTCTCCCCTCCCTCCCCCCACAGACTCCCAGTTTCTTTTCTGGAAAGGCCTGGAAAAGCCTTGGCCCAGCGTCCAGGGCTGAGCTGGACGAGGACTGCTGCGCTGATACAAAGTAGAGCTTTTAGGAGAGATTTTCCTCTCCATCTGGTTGTGAGATCCTCTTCTGAAAGCCTGCATTCCACCTAGTAATTTCAGTTCACCTCCATTAACTAAGAAAACCAGTGGAAGATTTCTTGACTATTTCACCATGTTGCCAATCAATACTGGAGTAGCAAAAAATAATAATATTTTCTGGAATACCTGTTTTGTAATTCCCTCACTGGGGTGCATTCTGTAGCTGGAAATTCTCTTTATAATAACAACAACATTTCTTGAGCTCCAGCTTGGCTCTCTTTGGTAAAATGTGGCCGCCCCTCCTTATAAAGGCCGTTCCTTCAGCATTGCCAGCTAAAATGCTAAAATGTGCATTTGGGTTTCTTCCTTCCTTTCTCTGAGAACCTGTTCTTTTCAAGTTCCACCATTGCAAGAATGGTCCATAGATCCATTGAAGGGGGCTACATCAGAGGGGCTGTTGTTCAGAAAATGAACGACCTTAATACACTAAACGTTTTAAACTGTCAGTCAATTTAGCAGAGATTTAGCTATGCCAGTGAGCAGTAATTTGAACGCTTCTTGGCTGTGTGAACTGTGCAGCTATGAACAATGACAAATGTAGATTTTTCAAAGCAATAGAGGATACGAAAACATAGGAATCTTGATGAATAGAAACCACGAGATCTATCTTAGTTATTCCAAGAGGCAAAGCAATGATTAGTGTTTTCCTTCTACAATAATTATTAACGTGGTTTTACTTAGTTCATACTGTCGCTTTTGAAACTGCATAAAAGAGATGGAAAGTTATAGTAGAAATAAATGTGCTTTGATAGGACAGTATGGATGTAGAATTCTTAGCTCAAAGACCTGCACCCACTGTCACATTTTCTTCCTCCCATTACAGCTATCCTCAGGTGCCAAATGTTCTTGAGTTTTCAATAAGGATAGTAATAAAAGGAGGAACCTATAAATTTAAAGTTCAGTTGACCCAGCCTTATACTAAAGATAGCCTTATGTAAAATATTTGCTATGAGGCAGAAGCTTATTTTTGGCAGAGAGAAAAATAAAATCTTTTCCTTTTGTTTAATATCCTTATTTTGATAAGTATTTTAAATTTCACGTCTATTTAAAAATAAGCTGAGAGATAATTTATCATTCTCCACTTTTAAAAGTTATAGTAAATATATTTCCTGATCTTTCTTTTATATTTGTTCTAACACTTCAAATCACATCTTCCCAAATAGTTAAAGCTAATAATTTACCAAAATACACATTGTTTAAGAAAAAATTTTCCATGTCAAATTTGAAAATAAGACAATCAGAATGCACCTAACCCAAATATTATAGCAAAACTCTTGAAACAGAGATAACATAACTAACTGCTATGGTTTTGTCTCAAACAAATGTCAGCCTCTACTTGAAAAACAAATGTAAATACTTTTAAATATTAATATCCTTGGATCCTCACCAAAAGGGTGGCATTCACCTGGGGTTTGATTGTTGATTTCTTAGGCATTGAGATTTTTTAAGTATGTTCTACTAAGTTTTAAAATTTGTTTCATAAGAACCCTTTTGCTGATTTTTATTTTGTTCTCAACTTCCGTAAGTTTGACTGTGTTGACCACTAGAACACTTAAAATACTTTCTTCGTTATAAAACACCTTCTTTTTCTAATTTTTAGTAATCTGTTTCTTTGAAAAAAACAACACTAGCTTATGAGATAATTCGTTAGAAATTAAAAAATGCAAGTAATTTGCTATGTAATATTCCATATGAAAGCATAACCAACTGTAATAAAAAATAATCAATACGATTAGAATGGAATAATGTGCATTTTACTTTGTATTTCTACTTCTATTTGCCACATCATTCAGTATATTGTATAATATATGATTATTATTGATTATGCATTCTTGGGATATTTTATTTGGGAATGATGCTAACTTTGTCTCTTTGCCAATTCTGATATCAGGTTCCAAGTAATAAATCTACAATACATAGAGAATTGACTATTCATTCTAAGGCTAGGATATGAACTTTACAAATCATTTGGGTACCTGTTATCATTGAATTTTTCATGAGAACAATCTTTTTCCTGGTGCCCAGGGATAATTCAGTTGGAACCAGCAGGAAAGTACAATAAAATACTAAGGTTCATAAAAGTGACCCTAAAAATCAGTTTGGTCAAAGGATGGAAAAGTAAAAGAGACCCATTTGGGTGAAGTTATACAGAATACATAAGTAGTTAACATTTTGCCTTGGTAAAGAGTGAGGCCACCTGTGAAGATCATATCTGATCTGGGAAGAATTGACTCTGAATGAGGGGTGGGGAACAGGAAGAGTTTATGAGAAGGAAAACCATACAAAGGTGACAAAGTAGAAAAAAGAAAATCTTGAATGAGCTAACACTAGGTAGCAACAGTTCTCCCAGTCCACTGTTGTTATTAGTAAGTAATCAGAGAGTTTAGAAACTATTTTGGGCTGTAAATGAACTGTTTAATGGTTTTGCTGCAATTTTGCAATTCCAAACCAGGAATTAAATACTTTTTAAGAAAATAAAATATTTCCTATGCTAGTCTCCCAGCAAACTGTACATGCTTTTGGGGACTTCAAAGGCATTATCTGAGTTCACATTTCTCTACAGCTCTTTACTAACCTCAAGCTGTCAGAATCTCTATAGTTACCATTTACAATTTTATACTGTGAAAAATTAAAGATCAGTGAAAATCACAAAAGTAAATCAGAAATCACTTGAAAGGGGTCTGAGGCCTGGGAGATTGTCAATCTGTTGAAAATGAAGCATGTATAAAACTGAGGATGAATTTCACTGATCTTCCCAATGTGAACAAATATACTATGTATATTGTGTGTATTTCTAGAATTCAATGGCAGCTGCTGGTGGTGTTTGCATTTAGGAATCTATATAGAATATAGATGTTTTAGAAAGATGGTGCCAACCCTAAAGATTTTTGTGGGCTACAAGTGCTTGTACTTACTTTTTTCTGCACTTATAACTAATTTGATTTCAAAATTGTGTGTGTATATCTGTTCTTTTTCTGTTGTTGCAGCTTGTACTATTAAAACAATAGATAATATTAAATTATTTTGATGTGAATTGCAAATGATTTTTTTCATAAAATTTAACATTTTTAACAGCATTGTTTTGCTTTGTACTTGTATAAATGTGTTTTACTTTGACATTTTAAAATACAATTGCCTGTTTCTCAGTTGTCTAAATCATGTTATGGTTGGTGTTTGTGAAGTCAGTTATCTTTTGAAAAATATTAAAAAAAAGACGCAAGATTCTTTCCCTTAAGTGTTTAAAATGTTCTTTTAATGGTGTTTCTAAGACCCAGATCTATACTATCAACTCATCTTAAATTCACAGTGACCTACTCATTTGAATTATGTTAACGATGAGCAGTTGAATTATTGACAATTGATTAGAATTAAAATGTTAAAGAAACACAAACCCACCTGAAATGTTGTCCCCAAAAACAAACACCATTTTGAAATGTAACTAAGTACTTTTACTTGAAACAGAAAAAAATCATGTGAGAAAACAGACATTGATTTTGATAACTGGAAATAAAAACGCAAATTATATAATTCCACAGCTGTGTTAATAGCAATAATATTACAAAGCAATATGAAACTATGTGTGTATATATACATATATGTGTATATATAAACATTATATATATTCAACTTTTAAGTCAATCTATATATGTGTCAGTTTGTATGTGTATGTTTGTTTTTATGTGTTTGAACATATAAATGTATTTTTGAGTTAAAGATGTCAATTTACTTTGACCAATTCTTATGAAAACATATATTCTCCTATCACAAATTAGTCTAAAACTAAAACTAGAATGTAGGTTAAATTTTTGTTATATGGATGAGAAACAATGTAGATTTTTAAATTTCATTTCACTCTTCTTTTATATTGCATTGTTATACATGTCTATAAGATATATAAATATATCTTATACATGTGTGAATTGATACAAATAAGTTTGGTCTAAAAAGAGAAAACTTTTTTGTGCTGAACCTCTCCTTTCAGTGTCTTCTATTATGAATTAATACTTATGGACATATAATTATATAAATGAAGTTGAGATTAGATAGCTAGATCACTCACTTGAAATTACATTCTAAAGACCAAGAGTTTCGTAAGACTCCTAGAACTGTGAAAATCTAGTCAAAACCAGCTGATTCCGACAGAAATGCCCCTGAATTAAAAGTCAGGACTATATGAGGTTAGATGCATTGCCTATTCTGTAATTAAGTTCTAATTTCTTTAAGTTTTGAGGTGAATTACAATAACCTATGAAATTATTTAATCTGTATCATCTCTGGTACATGGTCAGTCTTCAAAATATAAGACCT